TGTGTGAAAGTGTGTTTTTTTTATGCGCCCCTTTTTTTGGGGGGGGGGGGGGGGCGATGCGCAATTTTTTACTTATATTCTTTTTTTTTTACCGCTTTCAAGTCCATATTATTAGAAGAACACATTTTTAATGTGGATTTTATGCAAATTTTCAGTTTCCAAGGACGCTCATGCTATATAAGCTATCAAATTTTGGCGAACATTTTCTCGCTAATCTTACCTCTGAAACCCGGCAACCCTGGACTTCTTCAATGGTAAATATTTAGACTTCTGTTCAACAAAGATGGATATTTTTGTCACCAAAAGAAAGGCAAATGAACAGGTTCGAAGATGATATCAATTACCCATTATACCCCAACATTGACGAGCGCCGGATTCAATCACGTCGTGATCTCTCTCAGGATGCCACTGGACGTTCGAGGTGCTAAGAATGATGCTTCAGGGAGAGGCCAAACTGTCAGACAAGACCAAAATGCAGTCCTTTATTGATGTGGTCAATCCGACAAAGCTCGAGACCCTGCCCTCCCCGCGAATTCTTAACTCTCACGTGCTCTTCGAGGATATGCCCAGACAGGTGAGGGGGATGTAGATAATCACTCACCAGTAATGATCCTAACGTGGTGAGAGTATGAAAGAGGTTTGTATTCCTTGTAGTTGTTGTTAGATCCACAGGACTTGCCAAAACAATCCTATAGGGAACCGTACAAGGAAAGAGAAAGAGGGAAAGGCAGAGAAGGAGATGGGAGGACAACATTACGGAGTGGACAGAAAAGACGATGGGTGACAATCTGAGAAAAAAAGTTGACAAAGATTAATGCCGAGAGCTGGTTTTCAGATGCAGTGGTTCCCCTACGGTTGCCCCAACCACGGGATAGAAGAAGTAGAAGAAGAAGAAGAAGAAGAAGAAGAAGAAGAAGAAGAAGAAGAAGAAGAAGAAACATATAATGATTAGGATGATGATATATTATTCTGCTGAACATGCAGATAGCTCAGATGCTCTACTTTCTGACCCTCCATTGTAGGCCTACTTCCTCCCCCTCCACCGCCCCCCTCTGCAACCTCTCTTCCTCTCCTTTTCCCCTCTCCTTTCCCCCTCTCCTTTCCCCCTCTCCTACCCCAGCCACCTCCTTCTTTTTGTGTTGTTATATTTTTTGTTGTTGGTTTTTTACTTGTTTGTCTGTTGATTTGCTTGTTATTTCGAGAAAGGGGGGGGGGGGTGTTTTTTAGTTATTATTATTATTGTTATTATTATTATTATTATTATTATTATTATTATTATTATTATTATTATTATTATTATTATTATTATTATTTTATTATTATTATCATTATCTTTATCATAACTTTTGCTGTAAAGTATAATACAATTACCATTAAAGAAAAAACTCTCTATAATTTAAATATTATTATTATTATTATTATTATTATTATTATTATTATTATTATTATTGTGTTTAAAGGTCGCTGAGAAGAAGACGAAAATTATTCTGACTGTGCGCAACCCAAAAGACACAGCCGCCTCTTTCTACAACCACCATGCCAAGATCCCAGAATACACGTACGATGGGACTTTTAACAAGTGGTTTCCTCTCTACCTCAGTGGTCGAGGTACGTAACACGGTCGTTACAGGTTTGATTCCTGATTATATCTATCTATCTATCTATCTATCTATCTATCTATCTATCTATCTATCTATCTATCTACTTATATATGTATGGCACTAAATGGTGGCGCTATCAATCTAAATAGATAGATAGAGAGATAGATAAAGATAGATGGACAGGGAGACAGACAGACAGACTGACAGACAGACAGACAGACAGATAGATAGACAGGTAGATAGATAGATAGAGAGTGAGTTTGGGTTTTAGTAAGGTTCTACGGCGCTAGCAACTGCATAAGGTCATATGAGCGCCAAGGGGTGGATCTCAACTCTCAACAGAGAAGTCCTTAGAGGGAATCGGGCTTAATCAGCTCACGCCTCTAGCTTCAACAGGACAAAGTCTGCTTAGACTATCAAGGCACCCCGGAAATAGTGGGTAACAAGAAAGTGACAAACGTACTAAAGAATTAGACTAAAATGATGATAGTAAGGATGAGGAAAGAAAAAGCAGCAGTTCCCTGTTGCAATTCCGGCATAGTTATGAGAATGACATTGAGGAATCAGCCCATTTACAATTCTACTGTGCAAAAGAACATGGTTATATTCCCCTTTGGGAATGGCCTAAAGACACTTCAGTCAGTAGCACCACCCAAGATAGATAGATAGATAGATAGATAGATAGATAGATAGATAGATAGATAGATAGATAAACATCATCATAAAATGCCATGTAGACAGAAATGACATTATAATTGTCACCCACACCCTCTTGATCCACGCCACCTCCCCTCATTTTCTCACACGCCCTCTCCTTCAACTCCACCCCCATTTTTCCCACAGTTGACTACGGCTCCTATTTTGACTACTACAAATCTTGGGACGACACCGTGAAAGAAAATCCTGACCAACCTATTCTGGTTCTGTCTTATGAGGACATGAAGGAGGTGAGGAGAGAGAGAGAGAGAGAGAGAGAGAGAGAGAGAGAGAGGGAGAGGGGGGAGAGAGAGGGAGGGGGAGA